TATTTTTTTTCCTGGCAATTCTCCTTTAAAAAAAAAATTTAAATACATTTCAAAACCAAGGGCACAAAGCATGTCCCCCTCCCACTTTCCTGAATCCTCAGATTTCTTCCCATGATAGGAGATTGATTGGGCACTCCCTCCATTTCTAGTCCCATATTTTTCTGCTCTAGGACATTAATATCTATACCCCACCCCTATCAATTACAGTCTTCAGAGGGCTCAGGGATGGTGAGAGATCCTGAAAGAGCTGTCTATATTATAAATATATATATATTTTTTCTTTTATGGCAAAGCTGGGAGGTGAGGGCAGGCAAGTTGTCAGGACTAAAGTTTTGCCCATTCTGCTGCCTCCCATCTCAGCTCCAGGTCCATCCCCCGCTCTCCACAGAAAGCAGTCGGTGACACGAGGTTCTACTTTTCTTTTCTTCTGTTGCTCTCTTGACTTAACGTGAAAACAGGGTATACTTTGACAAACTGTCCCAGGCGGGGGCTGCAGCTGGGCCTGTGTGCCTTGCTCAACCCTGGACAGGACACTTTTGTTGCACTTAGAGTTTACATTTTAATGGATATAAAAACAACTGTGAGAGATGCCTGGGCCTGCAGGAGTCCAGCATCGCTCAAAAAAAGTGTGTTCTAGTGAACATTTTCATATATATTTATTGGTTATAGCTTGTTAAAATATTTTCTTTTTTTGTATTATTTATCCCCCTACATTATGTATTTATATGAGGGAAAAAGGAAAAAAATTGTACTTTTTTTTTTTAGTATTTACTTGTTATAAAGGACGTTGTGTTCCCTGTCATGTAAAACCAGCTATTTTAGTTATTGTACTCTAGAAAAAAGCTATAGATTTATGTTAAACTTGTACTTATGAGCAATTGTAATTAGTTCTAAAAGGCATGAACTCAGCTCCTAATTGTCACTGTATAGTCCTGAATTTGTAGAATTAGAGTTAATTCCCTCTTGGAACTTTCTTTGTTTTTCTGTAGTTACTTTTTTTCCTTACTTAAAAGGGTTGTCTGTCATATAATTCTTGAATAAACTTTCTGTTATCAATTTTATCTTGTCTTGGTGGTCTAATTTAGATAGCAGAGCAGCAGGCTGCTGACTGCCAGATTTCCCCAAGGGAAGCAGAATGGTGAAGACCCCATCCTGGCCTTTTTATGATCCCCTGCTCAGAGCCCTACCTCCCCCATCTGTGTCTCAGGTTCATTTGGTTTTTCTCACACAAGCTTGGAACATTCTGCCAACTTCTTTAGTTAAGATTTAAGTAACAAGTTTGGGGCAAAGGGAGACTAGGGGACTCTCTCTAGGTCTTTTCTGTTTGGCTTCTTCGCCTCTCAGTTTTTTCTCATTGATTGACCTTTTGTATTTTTGCTTCTTTGGCCACAACATCCTCGCTGTCCCCCCGCCACCCCCCCCCAACCCATCAACAACAACAGAAATCTGGCCCATTACTGCTTCTTCAACCTAAACTTCACAGTTCTCTTCCGGAGCTACAAAGAAGTCGTCACGTGACCCGAAGCCCAACCACCATTGGGTCTAAAACGAAAACAAAGGAAAATGATTAATCTTAAAAAAAAAATTCTGAGGCCTAGACTTCTCAGGTCAAACCTTAAAACTAAAGTGAAATTAAATCACTAAATAAAATTCAGGGCGGAGGGAGAGGAGGCCTGCTTGATTTCCCCTGCCAGGGTAAGGGGAGAAGAGAAGGGTGGGAGAAGCTATGGATCCAAGCGTACATAAAATGGTCCCCAGGCTAATGTGCCGCTCTGTTTCCGCGATCCTTGGGAAAACTTCATTTCTTAGTCGTGGTTCCATAAAAGTTTTATCACATTGGAGCGAGGATAGAGAGGGTCTGTCAAAGATGAAATGTCACCGCCGCGTCGCTGGAGCCGATAAGAGCTAGGAGACAGGAAAGCTGAAATATGGAGCTAATTCGTTGAAAGAGAAGCGATGGCTGCTTGCTGAAGAGTTGCATAATTCTAATTGTAAGCGATGCTCTCGCATTGCTTAATTAGGAGCATATATTTGGTGGTAGAGATGGTGGGGGGTGGGGGGACGTGTCGGTGAGAATCGTTCCAGGCCCTCAGCCTTAAAGCCAGGGCTGATTTTCATTTTTATGTTGTATCCTGGCAGTCCAAGGTTAGTAATTATAGCCTTTATACAACAATAAATAACAATAAAAAAGCAACCTGAATTCTACACCCCGCCCCCCACACCACCACCAAGTAGGATTTTAACTGGACTAGGCTCATCCAAGCAGCAAGCAATTTAGCATTGGGTCAGGCTATAATTTAAAGGCATAAGAGCGTGCAAAGTTTGATTGGGATCAAATAACGCTCAAGGGTTTTTCTTTTCTTTCTTTCTCTCTTCCTCGTCTCTGAATAACATTTTCTGAATGATGTAACTAGATGAAGCGCCATGTTTGGCTCTGGATGTAGAGTGGACTGATTATTTATCTAGCAGGAGAGAGGCAGGCCAAGTCAGAAAGTTTAACTTGAGTTTGAAAAACAGAGCTTTGGCTTGAAACTGGAATTGCAAACAAGAAAAATAAGGGCCACCTTGGCTTGGTGTCCCCCTCCCTTCTCTGTTAGAGATTTCAGCCCCTAGCTAAGCAGCCAAAGTCGAGGGGAAAATATCTGTAAAGTAGGATTCACAGCACAACAGGGGGGAGGGGAAGTGGCGACTCTGGGAAGGAAGGTTCTCTTGGCCCCTTGTAACACCCAAGTTTTCTGCTGTTCTTTAATCTGGCCGTAAAATCTGTCAGCAGGGTTAGAGAGAGCCGTATTTCCTGCAGGGACAGCCGGAGTTGTTGCGGAGAGAATCGCTCAACCCTGCAGCCAGCTGGAGAGGCTGTGAAAAAACTTCCAGGGCTTCTCAAGGGGGTGGCCGGAGGGAGACCCCTCTCAGGCCTCCCTGCACAACCTACAGACAACTACTCTTCTGTGCCTACTCCCCACTTTCATCCCATCCTCACCTCGAAGTGACAAAAATTACTTTCTTTGCAGCTGAGCTGGACACAACGGTCTCTGGCTAGTTTGCTAGTTTCCCTTGGATCTGAGCCCTCCAGAGTCTGCCGCCCCTGTCCCTGCAGCCCCCACGTCCAGCTCCCCCTTTTTCCTCCCGGCTCTCCTCCACCCCCACCCTTCTCCTCAGATTTCTCTGTCCTTTTTAAACACTCACCCCCACCCACACGAATGAATACTTACCACCACCCACGCGGCTGTTACACTGTCAGAAACTTTCTAGTTCAGCTCCCGGCCGAGTTGCCATTTCTCTGCTAACCAGCCTTCTCCTTCTTGCTCAGCGGCAGCGAGCAAGGAGGGGGAGGGGAGGCCAGAGCCGTGGGAGTTCTCCAGAAAAACTTTCCACCCAACCCAGCGCCTTTCCTCTGTCCCCATTTCCCATCTGTTTCCGTGCTCTCCCAGAATCACCTTTCTCTTTTGCTAACACCCCCCACCTCCAGGCCTTTTAAAGGGATAGGGAATTTCGGCTGTTCCCTCTTCTTTCCCAAAGAGCCAAATTCTTTGATGCCATCGGAGGGAGCTGTCAGGGGGCTAAGATTGATCGCCTCATCTCCTCTCGGTCCCTCTGACCCACTTATTTAAAAATCTTACCCCAGATCGACTTTTCATTTTCTGCTTTGCGATCTAGTTTCCCACCGATTGCTTGGGGCTGTGAGTCTTGAACCCATTCCCGCCAGTAAATTACAGCACTCCCTAAAGTTCATACTCTCTTTAACTTCTGAAAAGAAATAAAAACAACAATTTCCCCAGGGGCTAGAAATGAGATATCATCTCTGATCATTATTTTTGCACCCCCTTCAAGTTCAGAGAATTCTATCTTGCCGGGGATATTTATTTATACATACATACAATGACAAAAATGGCAAGGGCATTCCTGTGGGGGGGAGTACCCCCTCCCAATACATTGACCTGAGATTTGAGAGTTCTTTAAGTCAAATTGGGAGCTACCTTGGTTCTTGATTCTTGTTCCTGTTTCTGGATATAGATGCAGACACAGGCTTGAGGCTTGAGAGGGTGCATATGCATCTTAGACCCTGTCTGCTGGGGTGTCGAGGGGCCCGATGCCTCCAAGTGAGGAGGCAGGTAGACAGGGGCAGGGGCAGTGCTGCAAATGCTGGGCAGAGAAGGGAACAGAGACTTCACAGCTCCACAGGCCAGAGGCCCAAAAGGGCTCCTCACTATCTTATCTCACTCCTCTGTGTCAGCCTAGGAGTGCTTGTCGATTTTCTAAGATTTATCTGTTGCTTTTGGGGGGTGGGTTGGGGATAGTGATGCTGATGATTGTAAATCTCTTCTCGTCCTTATTGCACTGTAACACAGACCTTTCCCAAAGGGGAAAACCTCTTTCTACTACCTCTTCCTCCCACATTGAGATCCTCACTCAGCTTTCTTTTTTTTTTTTTTTTTTCGGGGAGGGAGCAGGGAATGCTGCTGGCCTTATAAAGAAAGCTTTACTCTATTAAAAATATTTGAAAAAGAGGAAGGCTTCTCCCTTAAGTTCTCTTGTTTCCTGGGTTCCAGAACCTCCCCTCCTCTGAAGGGAATGAAGAAAAGGTTCCTTTAGCTTATCTGGAGAAAGCGGGGCATGAGGAGCAGGCATGTAGGACTGGGGGGCTCATGGTGTCCAGGTCATAGTCCTCTAGAGTTTTTGAATCAATTAAAGCAAATAATGCTCTGTTTTCTACCAGGCCCAGACGAGTGATTGGCCAAGGCGGGTCCCGTGACCATGAATTCCCTGCAATTTCGCCGGAGTCCTGGGTTTAATAGAGAGAGTCCCCATACGCTTGTATTTATCAGCAATATACAATTATAAAGACCCAAAATTTAAAAAAAACAAAAAAGAGAGAACAAAATCTTCCCCTCCCAAAATCGCTGCATCACACAAACCTGGGGGGGGCAGGAGGGGGGGTCCCTTCCGATCCTCCCTCCTGACGCCCCCCCAGCAGGCCCCCTCCCCCACCATTGAAAGCCATGAATTTTGAATTTGAGAGGGAGATTGGGTTTATAAACAGCCAGCCATCGCTCGCCGAGTGTCTGACTTCCTTCCCCGCTGTCTTGGAGACATTTCAAACTTCATCAATCAAGGAGTCGACATTAATTCCTTCTCCTCCTCCTTTCGAGCAAGCCTTCCCCAGCCTCCAGCCCGGCGCCTCCACCCTTCAGAGACCCGGGAGCCAAAAGCGAGCCGAAGATGGGCCCACTCTGCCGCCGCTCCCCGCCGCCCCCCTGGCCCCCGAGTTCCCCTGGATGAAAGAGAAGAAATCCGCCAAGAAACCCAGCCAATCCGCCGCGTCTCCCCCAGCCGCCTCCTCCGTCCCGGCCTCCGGGGTCGGATCGCCGGCAGGTCGGTAAGCGTGATAGGGGTTGGGTGAGGGGCAGCTAGAAAAAAAGGGGGAGAAGGAGCGATAGGGGAGGTAGAAAAGGTGTCGAGCCTGTTGGGGTTTCTTGCCCCCGTCGATTCCAGGGACGAGGAAGCAGAAAAGACCGCTGTGGTTCAGGCCTGGCCGCTGCCAGCATTTTTTTTTTCCCCTGTCCCTATAGCAGATTTTGGAAGCTGGTTGGGGAAGAGCATCTTTTTCTGCTAGGAGAAAAGGATTCGATTGAGGTTTCACATTTAGCTGTGTGGAGGAGTGTTGTTGGATGGGGTCGAAACTGGAGGCAGGAAAAGATTCAATCCCATCAACTCTAGCTGTAGAAGAGAGGTAATTTGAGAGCTGGGGGCTAGGGAAGAGAAGAGGTGAGGAACCATCTTTCTTTACGAATCCTTTCCCCAGGCTGAGTTGGAAAGTGCTGAAATGAGGGATCCACTCGGAGGACCTGGGAGGGGCTCTGAGGTTCTGGGGGCGAAAGGGAGCCGCTCCCTAACCCCTGCATGGTCCGTGGGCGGCTCTCTGAATGCTGTGTGCTGACTCTGGCCGGGTCTGGCGGCAAGAGAGGGACGAGAAAGAAGGCAAGAGCCGTGGGAGCGAGCCGCTTTGGTAGGCGGGCAGGTCGGGGGTGCCACTGACATTGTTTTGGGAGGATGGGATAGTCTTTTATTTCAGCCGAATTGAGGTTGGGCTGAGGACATGGCCCGCATTGACGCCCAGCCCGCTTTCCCCGCAGATGGGCCGGGACTGCCGGAGGCCGCCGGCGGCGGGGTGCGCAGGCTGCGCACCGCTTACACCAACACGCAGCTGCTGGAGCTGGAGAAGGAATTCCACTTTAACAAGTACCTGTGCCGCCCGCGACGCGTGGAGATCGCGGCCTTGCTGGACCTCACCGAGAGGCAGGTGAAAGTGTGGTTCCAGAACCGGCGCATGAAGCACAAGCGGCAGACGCAGCACCGAGAGCCGCCCGACGGGGAGCCAGCCTGCCCCGGCGCGCCGCAAAACACCGGCGAGCCAGCCGAAGAGCCTGTGGCTAGCCCGGGCCGCCCCTCCGTATTGCGGGCCTCCCGAGCAGCCTGTTGTCACCCGCCCGAGGTCGTGCAGGGGCCGCCGGGCGCCCCGGGCTCCCGGCCTTCGGCCCCTCGCTTGGAGGGCGCGGACGCGCGGAGCCCGGGCGGCGCGCTGCGCGGGGCCGGCGGACGGGAGCCCGAGCCGTTGTCAGAAGACGCCTTCTCGGAGCGGCAGGATTCGCCTTTCTTGCCCGACCTCAGCTTCTTCGCGGCCGACTCCTGTCTCCAGCTGTCCGGAGGCCTCTCCCCTAGTCTCCAGGGCTCTCTGGACAGCCCGGTTCCCTTTTCCGAGGAAGAGCTGGACTTCTTCACCAGCACGCTCTGTGCCATCGACCTGCAGTTCCCTTAATAACCCGCTTCCTTCTCTCGACCTCTGCCCGCCCCCCCGCGCCCCAGCAGCCTGCGGACAAACCCAAGGACCCCCCTCCCCAAGTCGTATGGACTTCTTTATGTGTTTTGCTAAAATTCAGGTATTATTGAATTAGCGTTTAATCCACCTCCTTTCTTCTCTAAAATATTGGACACACGGGCGTCTTTTAAAAATTACACATAAAAAATCCGTTTGGTAGAGTCCTTCCAACGAAATCTCAGGAATAATTAAACTCGGGGGGGGGGTGCTTTCTTAAAAAGAACTAGAGGAAACTATTTTCCTCTCTCTCTCGCTTTTTTTTTTTAAGTTTTAGGCCGTAGATTATTTATTCAAATTCTTTACTAATAGGAAAAGGAGAAAGTATTTATTGTATATTATTTTCATAGATTCAATAAATGTCTTTATAATACGGAAACGAGTTAGTGTTTGTGTTGGGACCCAGCCCCTTTCCTCCCCGCACCCACTAGGCCAGGCCGGCCTCTCTGTCTGTCTGTCTGTCTCTCCCTCTGCCCTGGGCCGGGTAAGTCCGGGTGGTACAAAAGCGGCCCCTTGGAGGGAGAGGGTGTGCTGCCAACGGAAGTGAGAGCAAGAAAAGATCTCAGGCACAGGCTTCAGAGTCGTGGTGGGAGGCGTAGAGGTTCAGCTAGATTGGGAGGGTCCCTAGGGCTTCCTAGGCTTCTCGCCTCAGTGCCCCAAGCGGAATGGAGGGGTTTTTTCCAGAACGCAGGATGCCTGGGGAACCCGAGGTCTGGGGTCATGCGCAGGGCCAAGGAGTGGAGTGGGGTCGGGGGTTTTCTTGAGAAGCAGGGTCCCGTGCCCAGGGATGGTCACTGGCCTCCGAGTGGACAAGAAAGGAGGCCGTGTGGAAAATGCAGCGGGGGGGCACTACTGCTCTTCGGGTCCCTCAGTCACCCTAAGGCTCCTGAGTTTGGGAGGAGCGTCCGAGGAGCTGCGGGGCGATAAGCCCCGGGAGGCCCGGGCAGCGTTGGGAGGCGCTTGGCTTGTATGGAGCGAAGGAGGAGCGAGAAGAGCGGGAGAGAGACAGGGAACCAGGAAGATGCTCAAAATGGCGCTGGGGTCGGGAGGCACGGAGGGGAGGGAAGAGACTGTGGCCGCCATGACAGCCGCCTCAGGATGCGCGCGGCCAGCCCCGGGACCGTCCCCGCACCCACCTTCACCTTTTTGGATCATCCCGATGCCCGTGAAAACAGGGAGCCCGGAAGCCTCCTTTTTTGTTTTTGTATTGTTTGAAAAATCAGCCCAACGGATGCTGAGGATGCGAGACGGACAGATAGTCCGCGAGGGGGTGGGAATGGGAGAGGGGGAATGGAGGATCTTACTGGCTGGGTCTGCCTCGCCAAATCTGACTTTTGATCCTTCGCTCTGGGATTTGATGCCCGGCCAGAGCGTTCTCCAAAGGCAGACCTACCTGTCCTTGCCAACAACTTCATTTGCAGTCTCAGCACTATTTTCTATCCCTCACCGCACCTTAGCAGGTTTCTTGCAAACCCAGTAAACGGGAGGCAAGGATCGATCTTCCCACCTGCCTCCTGGTTTGTTCCGGGGAACGTGGAGATTTAAAGGGCCCTGGAAAGCCATCCATTCTCCTTAGGTTTATTTAATATTTCTCGGGCTCAGAAACAGACACCGCAGGGCTACCTCCCCAGCAGATGCTGCTGTTCTTGAAAAACAGTTTATTCCCGGACCTCCCAGACTTTCCCCTGAACCAGCAGGATGGGGACTTGGAGTACCAGGTACGGAGAGGCAACAACTGTCAGGAAAAGCCAGGAGCCAGCATAGGTCGTGACATACAGGACTAAACAGACGCCTGCATATTTTTTTAAAATCTGGTCTTTCAGTGTGGGCAGTATGCACATTTTATTCAGCTGGAATTTAATCCCTTAAACTGTCTTAATATAGAATTCATCTCCTGCATTAAATAATCTTATGCCATGTTAAATTGCACTTATTTCTTTCATAAATTAATATAGAACAATTAGATGCATTATTATAATATCATGTATCTTATTAGTTTATTTTCCTTCATACAATATATACATATGAAATAATTTCAATATATTAAAGTGATAATACAGTTTGTTGGCTTGTATGTTTATTTTCCCCATAAATAAGTGGATATATATTAAAACCACACTATACATCTCATTGGGCTGTGTGTTTATTTCTCCATAAAATATGCGTATAGGCAGTGTCTAACATCTTTAAAATCACAATACATAGCCATCTATACACCAACAAAATAAAACAGACATTTCAGCCAGGGTTTTGATGTCTATGGACAGCCAAACTAGATAATTTGGTCTAATTAAAAATGCTCTTTCAGTTATAGCAGATTGTTACAAAGATGGAGAATACCAGAAGGATCTTGCTAATTGCCCACCTTTCAGCTTTCTTTGGTCAAAAGGAGAGCACACTTCATCAATGCCAAAAATACAGGCTCTGCTCCGTTGGAGAGAATTCACCTCCTGAAATCATGGCTTGGTCTGTAATACTCAGGGGCCTCTGAGGCTCCAGTTTTAGACTAAGATTTGCTGCTCCATGGACCAGCAGCATCAGCAGTACCTGTGGGCTAGTTAGAAATGCAGACTCTTAGGCCCCACCCCAAATCTACTGAATCAAAATCTCAATTTAGCAGATCCCCAAGTAATTTACAGACATACTAAAGTCTGAGAAGTACTGCTGGATCATACTGCCACCTTGCTTCCTGCCTTCCCCCATGTTTAACAAATTTTCCACCCACTTTATCTGGTCACCTCCTTCCAATCCTCCCCAACCCAGACCAGAGACCCAAAGGGCCCTGCATTTTAGCTTCTGCCTGAGGCTGCATCATTCCTGAATCTTCCCTCCCCAACTGAGTGGGAGTTGGGAGGGCCCAACCAAAGGCTCAATCTACTGCTTAGATCTAGGTACTTTTTGCATCCTGGGGGTGAGAAACAACCAATCTAGGAAATCAGAAGGTCCACTATTTCCCTTGCTTATTAGAGAGGAGTAGAGGTGTTTTTACAGGCAACACACAGCCTCTGTTTCTTTCTCCTGTCTTCTGTTCCTGAAACTCACCATCTCTGATGCCACCAGAGAAGAAGAAAGAGGCAAGGCATTTCTAAAAAGAAATGACTTCTCTTTTGTGTTCCATCTGACTTCAAATTCAAAGGAATGCATGGCAATTTAGAATTCATAAGGGACCAGGACTCAGGGTGCCTAAGTTGTGTTCTAAGTTAGCTCCTTTTGTTTGTTTCATCTCGAGGGTCACCCTTTTTAACCTGAGTTTTCCAGGTTGGCTATGGAGAAGGAAGGCAAAGAGGAGAGTTAAACAAGGCAGCAGATTGCCCCCCCACCAATGGCAGGTTAGAGGGCGGTGCCAGGTGGCTGCATTCAGTTATCCCATCCTGATGGGGTACGGCTCCTCTTAAGTGGTCTGTAGGACAGACTGGTTATAAATTGGCTGTGGTTGGAGTGGGAAGGTTTCAGTGCTGTCCTGAAAGCTGCTGGTCAGTCTGCCCTACTCTTGGTGAGTCATTTTTTAAGAAGAATGGCCCATTAATATTATGGTGAAAGCAAAAGACCGTTAGAAATTATTTGCCATCACTCTAACCCTGAGTCATTACATTTTAAAAAAAAACTTATGCCTGGGTAAGTCTCTTCCCCTTTCTGGACCTCAGTTTCTCCAACTGTAAAATAAATGGAAGAACTATATGACTCTAATGTTCTCTGCATCAGTATATGCCAAAAGTATATTCATTAGTCTAGACAAACAATGTATCAAGTATTTATTATAGCACCTGGTGTCAGGTGCTTTTAAATGGAGGTGGTGACTTTTGATGTCTGGTGATAACCCACTTCCCAAGTATCTGGTAGAGCCATTGTAATGAATTTTAATTTGCCTATTTACACCAACAATCATGCCCCAAGCATTATTTAAGTGAGCAGAGACAGAAATCTTTTCAACAAGTATGTAATTAGCTGTAGTGCTGTGCACTAGGAGCCAGGTATTCAATGAATATGAGTATTAAGAAGTAGGACATTTTATAAAAAAAAAAAAAGGCACCAAACTTCTTTGCCATGATGTACTAGACTTCATTTTTTTAAAAAAATGTTTATTTATTTATTTAAGGGCTTCCCAGGTGGTGCAGTGGTAAAGAATCTACTTGCCAGTGCAGGAGATGCAGAAGACGTGGGTTCAATCCCTGGGTTGGGAAGATCCCCTGGAGTAGGAAATGGCAACCCACTCCAGTATTCTTGCCTGGAAAATTTCATGGACAGAGTAGCTTGGCAGGCTACAGTCCATGAGGTCGCAAAGAGTTGGCCACGACTGAGCACACATGCATTTTGGTCGCACTGAGCCATGTGGGACCTTAGTTCCTGGACCAGAAGATGGAACCTGTGGCCCCTGCAGTGGAAGCACTGAATCCTAACCACTGGGCGGCCAGGAATTCCCAGTGTACTAGACTTTAAAAATCCCCTTTGATCAGTGTTTATCTGGTTTCTAGGGTATTAGAACATAGGTACAAATTATGGGTCTCCCTAAATAGCTCTGCTGAATCTTCTCCCCACCTTTCCTTCAAGTCTCTGATAAACACTCAATGGTCCCACTGTACATCCTCCTGAAGTATGCTCTATTGAATACATGTCCTCACTTTGCAGAAAGTAGACTCTCGAGCCCTACATCAGTCTCTCCACCTGTTGCAGCTAATGTGGCCCAAATCCTCCACTGACCTTTCCAGCCCAGCTCTGCCCTCCTGCCCCCCCACCCCCATCCTTCTTCATACTCAGAAGCAGATATTTGGTGCCTGAAGGAGCTATAATGAACTGCTTCCTCCTCTGAGGAGAGAGTCAGCAGTAAAAGTGCCTTCCTAGAACCTTCTCTGGGCTCCCCTGGTGGCTCAGACGGTAAAGAATCCACCTATGATGCAGGAGACCTGGATTTGATTCCTGGTTTGGGAAGATCTCCTAGAGAAGGAAATGGCAACCCACTCCAGTATTCTTGCCTGGGAAATTCCATGAACAGAGGAGCTGAGTGGGCTGCAGTCCATGGGGTTGCAAAAAGTTGGACATGACTGTGTGACTAACACACAAAACCGTCTCTAATTCCCAACCACCACAGAAAAATCACAGTCTGGACAGTCATTTGGATACAAATTCAGCTCAATCAGTGTTCAATAAAGTTTCCAATGTGGATATTTTGGCCACAACCACTATACCTAGATAAGCCCAATTAAGTAGAAAATTATTTCAACTCTTCATGTCACTCTAATCTTTCCTTTTAGCAAGGTCCCAACTCTCTGACTTACTTTTCCTTCCAGATGAAGGTTTACATCCTGTACTGACATCACAGAAGTCAGGTTCAACCCTCAACCCTGACAAGGACAGTTTTCTCCCAAATTGGGAAGGTCAGGGAGTTCTTGTTAATGCCCAACCTCAAATCTTTCTGCTGCAGTTTTAATAGATTATATAATATTAGAGTTATATCAGGTAAGGTTAGGGCTTGTTATAGATTATATAATATTAGGCTTTACTTACCAAAAAACCCTCTTCAGTTTAGAAGAAAATTCTTTGCCTGCACAGAGGCAGCCTTCTGAATTTTCAATGAAATGTGCATATGATAAAGTACATATTACATAATATATGGTGATGTTATATAAAAATATAGCACATATGCTATTTTCCCATCACATATTTCCATATTTTAATATGTCAGTTATATTAAAAACAGAAGACTGACTCATAGTATTTCAGAATGTGCATGTATATGTTAATATCATACACTTACAGAGTTCTCTGTGGTTTATGTTTTCTTGTTTGCTTTAATCCTACTAATATAGGGAGGAAAGTAGTATTAAACCCATGCTTCTTCTCTGAGGCTGAGATTCAGAGAAACCAGGGAACTTGTCCAGGATTATAATGCTAAGAAATGGCTAAGCAAGGATTTGAACCCAAGTTTTCTAGGCCCCAAACTAATAGTCTTCCTATTACAATATTCACCACCCACAGTCTATGGTTCTCAACAAGACATGTGACATTTTAATGAGCTTGCAATAAAACACACCACTAAATTCAGATTGCATCCTCCCCAAAAACAGCAACAAGCAACAATTTCTTATAGAGAAAAAAATTATAACCCCAAATATCCTTTTAATTCTTAAGTTCCAATCTTTGATCTTGGGCTTTGGCCTTTAAGATCTGGGCTGGGAGAGCAGGCAGAGAGGCACTTAAGGACCTAATGAAAGATCTGTTCCAATTGCCCCTGCCAACCCTCAGCTAAGGCAGCTTCCTCCATTGAAAAGTCCAGAATCAGGTATAAACTACTAACACATCCCTATTCTGATTAGAATGGTCTTGTCTTAATGGCATAGGGACCAGCATCTCTCAAAGATCATATCAGTTCTAAATATGCCTGTGTTCTCCTTGCTCACCTATATGTCTAAATAGACTATAAAAAGAGGAAATAAACCATTTTTAACGTTGGTGTTGAGCCTACCCAGACCATCTCTGGTGAAT